TACTTCAATTACATTGTGAAAGCCTATAAAAAAGGTATCCTCCGTTTGTACCAAGGCTGGATTTTTTATTTTATAATCTGCACTCCTAATCTAAACAAACATAGTATTCAAACTCTTTGGGCAAGTAAAATGTGGTGAGATAGAGCTTTCTTTACAAGAGTATAGTACTTGTAAAGACACAACAAGGAGGTTGGACTGTTGTATCCTGGGGTGGCGTGACCATAAAAATCTGCTGCACTAGTGGCACGAAACGTCCTAAAGAGAGTGATTGATCCACGCCTCAACTCAATCTCCTCGTACTTTCGGTGACATCTTTCTACTTTTTATTTTCATCTTTAATTTATTGTTTTTTTGCTAATCTTCTATCTATTTTCTTTTCTGTTTATTTTTTATGAGGTACAACACCATGGCTGCCTGGCCGCTTCTGGATCGGTGTGGGAGAGGTGAATATTAGGAAGCAAGCACTGATTCTTTTCGCGAGTTTTGAACTTTGGGTTGGTAGAAGGTGATGGAAGCAATTATAGGTGAGGTTCGTTGCAAACCCAGAAATTTGGGTATTTCTCATTGTTCTGAGGTAATTTTTTCATTTGGGTATTTCTTATTTTCGTAAAATTATGTTTCTGTAGAGATTTGCTCTTGTTTCTCAAGAAAATTTAGTTCATTTTATTGTTTTTAGTCCAAAAATATTTACTAGCATTGATAACCATAACTGTGAGATTTCATGGGTTTCTTCTTCTTCATTTTTTTTTTCTTAATTATTCCCCATTAAGGTTTTCTCTTATGCTGGCTTGCTTGACTAGTCATGGAAGAATCACTGAGGCTCGTAGATCTAGCTCAAAAACAAGGTGGGGGAAATTGGGAATAGAAAGTAGAAACAGAAAAGCCAGGATATGCGTTTGAAGAATGGCACAATTTCGTAAATTTGAATGGATATGAAGGTTAAATTAGGAAATATCGGTTAAAAAACAAAACAGAATGAGACCCATCAGCCACAGTGTAAAAAATAGCCACGTCAGCCCGAGCAAACGGATTTTTTTAATGTAATTATGTCAGTAATTAAATAATGAAACATTTATATTGATTTATAATTTAAGAGATCAATTGTCTTTACAGTTTTTTAGAAGTAGATTTGTCCCACTCACTTAATTCAATGGAATCTCACAGCAAACCAATAAAAATGGAAGTGAACTTTTTTTCCTAAATCACCCACCATTACAATGAAATAATATAGGATTTTTTTTCTCCGCGGTTGCTCTTGCATAGGTATCGCCTGTGTCTCTTCTCCATCACCACCTCTCTCGGCAACGCTCTACCAAAATCTATTCTCTCTGCCAGCCTCCGCCACACACTCATGTCACCCATTGAAATCGAAACATCCCACAACTCCACCCCGATTCCTTAGTTGTTGTCGTAGACCGCCCCTTTCTTCTCTGATACACATCTTTCCTCCTCTTTTGTCACCTACTTCCTCTTCCTGGTCTCCTTATCTTTTCCTCTCCCTACAGCTTGCCACCTCTCTCAATCCCATCGTGTCGAATGGTCAGTAGGAAACGCGGGGAACAAAGTGAATTGCTGGAAGAGAACAACCCCTAAGTGGAGAGCTAACGGCCGGTGGAGAACAGTCTAGGAATACTGGAAGGAGCATCTAAAGGATGATGAAATTACCAAAAGAGACAATCCAACAGTTGAAGAATGAGGGACTTTTTCGGAAATAAGGAAACAAACGCTGTTTTCTTATTCGAAATCACGAGGTGAAATGACGAAAAAGGCCGATGAATAGAACCGGAGATGAGGGGCAAAAAGGGCAGAACGGGGCTTGGCCCCCAGTGAACAGGCCGGCTACAAGAGAACCTTTCGCTAATTTGCGTGCAACGACTCTTTGCCCATAGAAAATGGCTGTTAAAGGGTATAAATGACAAAACAAAGATCAGAGGGTGGGCCAAAATTGTGTGAACAGTCTAAGCACAGTGATGGGCCGTTGGCGTTTGTAAAAATGGCGGAAATGACACGAAACCCAGTAAAAAAACACTGTGTAAGGGCTTTTGTGGGAGTTAGAAGGGCTCGCCATTTATATTTTTGGTGGAGGTGGATGGACCATGTCAGCCACGCAGACAACCAAAACAAATAATTAATTGCGGGATATATAAAAGGAATTTTTTATCTTATACACTTAAAATATGTAATAAAAATATAATAAATATATTATTTTATATTTAATATATATAAAATTGTTAAAAATTAATTTAAATTTAATTAATTAAAATTATTTATATAATAATA